GGTTAGGTTCTGAATGAACTTTAAACAATGTTTCATTTCTAAATGTTTTCTTGAAATTTAACCTTTTATTTTCACCGAGTTCATCCGAAGATTGAACGTTAAATGCTCGTAAGTAAAAAGGGTTGTTGTATTTGTGTACATTTTTTTTCAGTTCTTCCATTCTATGCTGGATATTTTCATTCTGATGTTGGAGTCTTTTGTATGTCGGCAAACATTTTTCGATATTCTTCTACTATGTCAGCCGAATCTTTCTTAGACTCTTGGAAAGATTCCATATTCACCTCATGCTCTTGTTGAGGGTCAAGATTTTTCGGCTGTTCCAAATCTTCATCTAGTTCTGTGAAGTTAGTTTCCAAAGGAGTGACTTGTTCGTTTCCTTCAGGCTCTTCTAGCTGTTGTTGCTGAACTATTTCTTCCATGTCTGGTTGTATCTGAACTTCTTCCTGTGGAGTTTCTTGTACTCATCTGCTGGCATTTCATATATTCCGAGACCGTTTTCAACAATTTCCCTATCTACGTCATCCGCATTCATAAGCTTTTGTTCTTTCGTTCCGTCTCTATTTTTTACGCGTTTCATGACGAAAGTTGAATTGTCATTTAGCTCTGACATCAAATATCTCGGAGTAAATTCATCCATGTCATTTGGATGATATGCTATTAAATCATATCCCTTAGCGAGCTTGTATTTTCCAGGTTTGAGATTATATCCGTTTTGGTGCTGAGCCATAAAGCAAATAGGTTCGGTCAGTATTTCCATCCTTGAACTTTCCAATAGCTTCTTTATATCTGTCACTAAAGTCAACAGTATCTGGGAAACCACACTCTTCTTTAAGCATTTTTAAGAATTCTTGGTTTCCTGTTTCTCTACTTCTTTTATGTCCTTGCTCTGTTTGTGGTTGTTGTTGTGCTGGGTTTTGAACTGTTGGTTGCTGTGCTGGTTGTTGTGCTGGTTGTGGAGGTGGTTGTTGTGCTGGTTGTTGTGTTGGTTGTTGTGTTGGTTTTGGTGCATGCCTGTGTCTGTGTCCATGTGACGATGTAAATGTTTTAGGTAGTCCTGGTGCAGGTGCTTCTCTTGGAGGGTTTGGTGGTATATAAGTTCCACCAGCTGGCACATATGTTCCATCTGCAGCGTAATGTCCTACCTGACTTTTCGTTCTTAAGAAAGCATTTACTAGGTCTGTTTTGGTCTGTTGTAACTCTTTTTCTTGACTTTTCACAACAGTTGCTCTAACGGCGTCATAGGCACTTTGAACTGCCTGTCTTGTTGCTGCATCTGTTATTTTCGTCATATTTTGTGCTACTTCTCTTAACTCGTTGTCGAAACCTTCAGACTTCAGTTTCTTTCCAGATGAGAAGTCGTTCACTTGTTTCACCTTACTATGAAGAGCTTCGAAGGCGTTCTTAAAGTCAGCATTTGTTAAAGCTTCATTTGAACTGTCTTCATCCGCTTGTATTTTTGTCCTTATTGACCCTATGAGTTGGGCTGCTTTAGCGTTGGCTTGGGCATCTAACCAGTCATTGTTGGCTTTTATATATTCTGCGCTTTTCATTGCCTTTTGCATAGCCGCGTCGTTATTTTTACTTTCTTGTGCTAAGTTTTCATACTGTACGGTTTGGTTTTGCAACTGTAAAAGTTTTTCTGCCTTTACATTTGCTTCAACTTCTTTTTTATACTCATCGCTATCCATATATGTCTTCAGGGCTTTTTGTTTTATCTCTTCATCTTTCAGTACTTTATATTGAGTAGTATGGTTTTTCAAATTTATGACATCTTGTTCCATTTTTGCTACTTCTGCTGCTTTTTCTGACACTTTTTTCGCATATTCCTCTGTACTTAGTTCTTTCAGTTGTTCTTCTTTCTTCTTTTTCTCTACGTTTAACTCATTGAGTTTCTTTGTGTGTCTGTCATATTCTAGTTTCTTTTCGTTTTCACTTATTTGCTTCTGTATGTCTATGTTTGACTTTTTGACATCTGTTATTTGATTTTTGAGTGAACTCAAATTCATTTGACTTTGAGGGTTATAGGCTGTTCCGTCTGCAGCTCCACCATAGCCTGCCATTTTCGCTAAAAGTGCCGCTCTTAAACCTCCACTCTGTGCACCAATAACTCGGTTTAAAAGCATAGGGTTGCTTGACATTTGTTGCAGCATAGTGGGGTCATTCATAATTTGTTGTTGCAACTGTTGTTGTGGTGTCAGTTTTACTATTGGATGTTTCAATGCTCCCTTCCTCTTACGTATATTCTTACGTAGCTTACGTGGCATTTTAAGTGAAGTTAAAAAGCGGTTTTTGACAGATGTTTATATGACACTTTTTGTTCAGCTCAAAAAACTACTCGTCAAAGTGTTGTCAGTTTTGTAAAATAACCGTCCTATCTCCGTGCCTATGACGAAGAAGTCTTGAAAATTCAAGAGGGTAGAAAAGAGGTTAGAAAAGAGGTTATATCTAACCTTCTACCCTAAACATTATTTTTGTCTGATTTTACGAAGAAGTCTTGACAAAACATTTACGAAGAAGTCTTGACAAAACATTTACGAAGAAGTCTTGACAAAACATTTACGAAGAAGTCTTGACAAAACATTTACGAAGAAGTCTTGACAAAACATTTACGAAGAAGTCTTGACAAAACATTTACGAAGAAGTCTTGACAAAACATGAAAACATATATAATTTGTGAAAAGCTCCTGGAAGACCTCCGAATAAAAACTTCATTTATGTGGGCTAGAAGGCACGAAGTGCCTGGAAGGTCACCCCAAAAGAAAAAAAAACTTCATTATACCAATCATCCTCAGGGCTAGAAGGCACGAAGTGCCTGGAAGCCCCACTACCTTTTTTTTTTTTTTTTTTTTTTTTTTTTAATGGAATCAAAATTTGTTTCACATATTCCACTTTCGATTGAACGCTTTTTTTTGAATGAAAACATATTCAAAATATATAGATCCGTATTTTTCCCAAGTGAGCGGGGTATCTCCAATCCCAGCCCTATCGTCCTCCCAGTGTCAGTTTTCAATATAAAATCCAAATTTTTTTTGAAAATAAAAATTTCGAGAAATTTTTCTGATTTTTTTTCTTTGATTTCAATAATTCAAAATAAATTTGGGAGTAAAAAGACACTATTTAATGAAATTCATATGAGTGAATGTGGATAAATACTCTCAAAACATACAATTTATCTATTTTTTCTTTATATTATCAACTAATTAGTGATAATTTTTTTTGAATCAGATTTTTTTTCATTAAAAACATAATATATAACACAACAATGATGCACACATACGTATCTACACATCAAAATATAAAGCTTGTTTTGGTCTGGGCATCCCAACCCAAAATTCTTTAAAAATTGAATAAAATTGAATACTTGGGGCTGGGATGCCCATCCCAAAACCGAATTGAATTTTTTGAATTAAAGAATATATTTATGTATTTATAATATACATGTGATGTCTATAAAAAATACTAAATTCTAAAAAAAATTCAATTTATTCAAAACGTATACTAAGTGATCACTTCATTAGTAGGATCAGCAATCCTACTAAATGGTGAGAACACCACTAACTAAAAAAGGTGTCCTTGGAGCTCTTGATCTCTTGTCAGTAGAGTTCATAATGAGGCATGGCATCTACTGATTAGAGATCAGAGCAATCCTACCTTACCTTCAGGAGCTACAAAGCTCCTAATCGTTACGAGAGGGAGTCTTGGAGCTCCTGAAGCTCATCAGCAAGGCTATTTACCATTTGGGCCTCTTCTGATGAAAGATGCGAAACACGTCTACGAACCAGGAGCTTCAAAGCTTCTAATCCTTACTAAAGGGCGCTTTGAAGCTCCTGAGTCTCCATCAACAGAGTCCCAGATGGTAAATGTCCTTTGCTGATGAAAGATGCGAAACACATCTACGAACCAGGAGCTCCAAAGCTCCTAATCCTTACGAAAGGGAGCTTTGGAGCTCCTGAAACTCCTTTTACTATAAAATATGACAGTTTTCTTCTGAGGTTCTCATCAAATCTAAGACTTCAGAAGAAAGCTGTCCTATCAATGTATACTTACACTCTCATGGACTACAAGTGTACAATTTTAAAGCAGAGATTATCCGAGGCCTCTCATCAAATGAGGGACCTCGGATAATCTCTACCTTAAGTAGTCAAATAACTTTTCTCACTATTTAGGAACAAAAGAACAAGAGTTGGAGTACTTTAAGGCAAGATTCTTCCGAAATCTCTCATCGAATGAGAGACTTCGGAAGGACCTTGCCAAATCCTTGAACGCCAATATCCTTGGAACTGAGCTAGAACCAGGGAGAAGTAGCATACTATAGAGCACGATGGTAATCTCGGAAATACTTATATCGCCCCAAGCACAATATTTAAGAAGTCTAACTCATATATACAAGAAGTCAGGCTGAATAGATATTGTGCATATGGTTTGCAGAACTCTCATGATATTTAAAATTCATGTTATCCCAAAAAAGGTGACACTTTGGGTGTATCGTCCATCCCAGGGATGCAAAAATCACATCACCTTGGATCTATATTCAAAATATATTATTCACTTTTTGAGAGGTGGGACGACAATTAAAAAAGTGAATATATATATTTTAATAGTTGCTTGATACCTTTTCGGGCTTATTTATAGACCCGTAAAAAGTATCACAACTATTTTCTAATTATAAGGTCGATGAAAAATTGAGCGTTATTAAAAAACCGCCGTTTGAGAGGAAAATTGAGCCCCGATGTATACTTTTTGACAATGTCAAAAACTTTGAAAGGACAAAATTTTTTTAGTGTCAGGAAGTTTACAAATGTATACTTTCTGACGAACAGACTCTCAGAAAGTACTCAAAGCGCGGTTTTTAATTTCCGCACTTTTTTTGGCGACCTTATAGTGAGGCATATTGTATTTTTAATTCATAAGCAGCAATCATTTAATACTCCTTGGAATTAATACACTAAATCGGGATTTTAAGATAAACTCTTGAAAAAAAAAGTAATGAGAATTTGAGTTTAAGAAACTAAAAGATCTATTAGTCCGAGTGAGAAAAATCTGGAATAGATAATAATATTACATGAACAGATATTAATACGTGAAAGAATAGTAATCTTAAATGCACCATCACCTAAATGACCTTGTTCATATTCAACATAATGATCAATTTTCGATGATGTATACAATGGAAGTTTTTCATCACCAGAAAGCATTTGAATACTGGTGAATGAAAGTCCTGAGTAGTGAACAGGACCAATGAACGAGTTATTGTTTTCGACTGAATAATATTTCGAAACACTGTTACAACCGTTGCAGCCTGACACATACGAAGAACCTCCTGCGCCAGTTCCATGTCTATCGATCGAAACAGATCCTCCACCACCTCCGAAGTAGCCAGAACCACCTCCAGAAATCGAAGACTGATCTTTGGTACTATTACCTCCCATTCCAAACACTCCATCTTGACCGTTAACAAAATTTTCATAATCGGAAATTCCTGTTTTACCGCCTCTAGTCTGGCTTCCTCCTGTGGCAGGGATATAAGTGGAGCTCACTATTCCATGGTGAGAATAACTTCCATCACCACCATTGAGATTTCCTCCGTGACCTCCTGTCCCATTTGTTGGATTGTTGTTATTATCTTCAATATAACTATCAAGAGTAACACCACCGCCAGCACCAGCAACAATAATTCTTGATTTGAGACCTTCAATATCTGTACTGTTTTTTAATCGAACGTCTGTAGCACCTCCACCTGAGTAGCAGAAAATACTATTGACTTCAGCGCGGGATGGATCCATTAAAGGTACGTTTGTTACCATTTCTTTTTCCACTTTCACCAACATAAATGAATAATTTGGTGAAATGTTTGAATGTAATAATTCCAGAAACATATCCTCCAAGACCACCATTGTTGCGGTCTTCGGCGCCCGATGCACCCCAACACTCGATTTGATAAGTTCCGGGGTAGGCATGGTATGAATAAACTCCAAATTCATTGGCCGATGCTATGCAACGGTTCTACAAATATAAAATTGATGATTGTTTTTAAGGTTACCGCTTTTTCAGAGGGATCTAGCTAAAGATTTTGAGTTATATTAAACATTTTTCAGTACATATGAATATAAATATTGTATGTCCAATATAAAGTCTTGAGATACAAAATTTCGTTTAAATAAGTTGAATTTATAAAATTAACAAATTTTAAATTAAAATTAATTATTCATTTCCAAAGTTAACCTAAAAGGAGAGCTTATGGATGTATGATGTGAAGATGATTCAAATTACAACCGGCATCCATCATCTATTCCATCGAGTTCAATGGGTTCTGTTAAATATTTAAGAGGTCTTTTCCCATTTTTATCTTTCGCTTTCAGATTTGCACCATGAGAAACAAAAAATTCAATCAATTGTGCATTATTATTAATCGCAGAATAATGAAGAACATTCTTTCCTTCATTGTCTGTTAAATTAATGTCTGCACCTTCTGAAAGAAGAAGTAATGCAATATCTCTGTCGTTATTGATTGCGGCAAAATGAAGACTTGTCTGCCCTTCGTTGTCTTGCGAGTTGACATCTGAACCATTTGAAACTAAAAA